ACACGGCTTGGGCAAATCCCTTAGTGAGTACTCACAAGCTGTCCAACTCTGTAAAAGGTGGCTGATTTATTTCTATGTTACAGAAATGTTATAGGAAGTTCTAATCCTAGAGTAATGTAGAGAATATGATACAGTCAAGTTGATAAATTAATTGCATCTCCTATGACCACACTGCATTATAAAAACTCCATGAAGATAACATGGAAACGTAAACATTGCCTGGGACACAGCAGGAAGCTTTTCTATTGAGGTCATATGTCAGCACCAATACAAATGACATTCTTATACTGCACTGTAGAGTACTTTTTTAAAAAAGTCCAGTCCACAAAGGCTTGCATCCATTCAAAATTCAATAAGAAGGTGGAAAGATCCATTTCCGATGGTGAGAAATTAGAGTAATGATGGCCTCACTATTCCAGTCATGCCAAGTTCAGTTAAAATTATTACACAGGGTTCTCATGCTATTGATTCTGCCATCTTGGATAGAAACCAAGTGCTTTGAAAGTATCAACTATAATTCTTGGTTAAGATGTAGGAAGGAAGACAATACAAAAACTGTCACTGAAGAAATTGAATCTGAACTCCTTCTTGTTTTCTAAACCTTACCATCTTCTGCTGAGAAAATCAGATTCCATATAACCTATCTCTCAAAAATTGATACAGCACTTGCAGTTAGTCATAGTAAAACCATGTTCCCAAGCACTTCAGCCTTTCCATGTACCAGGCATATGATTTATAGGGTCTTGTGTTCAGTAAACTGAAAAGCAGTTTGAGCTACTGTTTGTTAAACACAAATACATTGCATACATCATTTACATTTATAACAAACCTGTTCTAAGTTAAATAAGGACCAAAATGGATTACAGATATGGGGATGTAGGAAAAAAATGTTCAAATGAGAAGGGGAACAAGGTGGAGGAGAGGAAGGGAAGGAAGAGAAAAAGAAAGAAGAGAATAGAAGGAAAAATGAGAACAAAGTTTTTGTAAAACAGGAGGGGAAGAAGGGTTGAAGAGAGGGAAGGGAATAGGGAAAAAAGAGAATCAAGATATATTATGTATAAGTACAAATTCCTTAAGATGAATGTGATCATTATGTATATCAAAAGTGTACCGATAAAATTGTTTAAAAATAAAATAAAAAACATGCAAAAATAAGTTAAAGAAAGCCACATATACATAGTCATGTGACATAAATGCTATTTATTAAGCAGCCATTTACATATTAATGAAAATACACCTGGCTAATTATATAAAAGAGCAGGAGGATGTTGGAGCATATAAAATGCTCTATGAAAATTTAAGTATAAATGTGTTACTGAATAAGTGAATGAATGTACAGCTAGCTTAGTAACATTTTACATGTCACCTTTTCTTGACTAAGAGTGATAAATTGTCACGTGCTGGATTTCCAAAGTATGTAATACTTACTTATGTATAGGAACAAAGTACTAACATTCAACTTACCAACTGCTTAGCTCCAAAAGTTAAGTTAGAACTCTAGTTTATTTTCACAAAGGCAAACTCTAAACTTCGGTTTTTAAGATTGTCTACAGAACCGTGTTTAATCCATATGTAGTTGAACTATGGCAGCAAGGCATTTATGAAATCCAAATATCATTTAAACTACCACTGTTCACAGATGAGTGCTGTGCAAATCCAACGGGCCAAGAATGGACATTCCTATGAGACCCACTTTCCTGAGATTTTCTGCTTGATCTTCCCCCAAATCCACCTTCCAACCTTGGCTATCAGCACATCTATTAACTATTCATTAAATATTACAAAGACCGTGGACAGTGTTGACTGCTCTTTCACCCTGACGGTGGGGTTGGAAGCAGAAGCAGGCAACTCTACGAAGAGCAGCAATCGAAGCAGGGTAGAGAATGACCCTCGTAGCAGCCAATGGCAAGGTGGGAAGGAATGATGCCAGCTCCAGCAGAAATGGGTCTGACCAACTACCACAGACAACGTCAAAATCAGTCATTCTCGAGTGAGGCATTCGTATTTTGCAAATTTCCTGTTTGTTTCATGAGTAGAGCTCTGCACGAGTGACCATAGCTAATGGCTGCAGCACACAGACCTTGTCACCGTCAACCTGAATGCCCTTCACCCCCAGCTTCTGTGCAGCACAGGTCACCAGCATCTCCTTGAGCCCTCGTGCCATGCCCCTGCTGGTCTCCCTTCTTCTATTCCTGCCATCCCCACTTTTCCCACACACATATCCCACCCCCCCACACCATGCACAACCAGGCAGCCTGAGTGAGCTCTCTGGGCCACACAACTCCAATGGCTTTCCGTTATCCTTGTAATAAAATTCAAATCATTAAGTGGAAACTTACAACTCCCTCAAACACACACCTTGTGCCCCTGACTTTGTCTCCTATTTCTTTATCTACTTAGGCCACAAGCTTTTTGTAAGTTCTTATTTTGGAGGTTTTTACACTTTCTGTTCCTTCAACTGGAAAGTTCTTCAATAAAAATTGTCCTCCTACTTCACTGTTAGTTTCTGCTCAAATGTTACTTCTTTCCAATCATCCAATCTAAAAGGCTCTTCCCCTTCACTTTCTCACTCATTGCCCTACGTCATTTTCTTCAGAGCATTTAATAGCTGATACAATATTATTAGTCTCTTTGGTTGTTCATTCCATATAGAAAAAAATCTTGTCTGTCATTTCCTGCTTTTGATGTGACATAAAATAAACGACTCCTTCTCTTTACGTGAAGCACTTCACTTTATTTCTCGGGTAATTCTTATTCTTCCCTGTCCCCAATCATCCCCCCACCCCCACAGCTGTAATAAGATCTTCACTGGTACTCGGGTGATATTACAACCGCATACAGTTATTTTCTATGTGTTCTAATCATGAGGGAACTTCAGTAGCAGTGATTTTGTAAGACTTTAGCAGAGAAGAGGAGATGACCAGTAACATGAGCTCACTAACCTGTTGAGTCTTCTTCCTTCCCTACTACAGAGGGCATGGGGCACTTAGGAGCTTCTAAAGTGCTTCTTTCAAGACCCACACCAGCCAGACAAGGAAGACCTAAAGCTATATTACAGCAGCAGTAGCTACTCTGGAGTCCCCAGAGCCTGTGATGGTAACAGCCAGGATCAGGTCAATGCTGAGGCACCTGGAAATCAGCTGCATAAAACCGTTTAGGGTGAGATGACTTGTGCAACCCGGGCTTCACTGGTATTATTGCTCACATTGTGGATGAAAGCACAGGCTCTGGAGCTTGATGGCTTGGGTTCATTTTTCTACTTTGCCACCATTGGCTAAGTGACCTTGGGAAATTAGTTATCCTCAGCAATACTGAATATTCTGCAATAGGAGGAACTGGGCCCTCTAGAAATTACTTTTCAAAAGGTTGGATGTTTTGGGTTGGTCTGTATTTACTTTTCTACTCTGAAAAATAACAGAAGTAATAGTAACCATCCTAGGGTTGTGATATGGGTTAATTAATAAACACAAAACACTAGCTAGTACCATTATGATTTCTCAGTAAAATCTTGTGTTTGCCCACATGTAACTGAAAAAGTTTCCAAGATTGACAATGAGTTTAAATGTGTATCTATGTGATCATCGAAATCCTTGGAGGAGGTAAATCTAGAATGCATCTTAGAGCAACTAAACAGCAAAGAAAATAAGATAATCTATTCACTGATTTTCATATAGGTGAGATAGAGTTATATAGACAGAGGTGTCTCAGAGCTCCTCAAGGTGTGATGACCTTTAAAATGAGAGCTTCCCACAGAAAGATGGGGATGTCTAAGCAGCCGACACAGGAAAGGAACCATTGATAATCCTCATAAATAACAACCGATCTCACTTTTCAACAAGGTCAGCGACATAAAAATTTGAAAATAAGCTTTTTGAATAGCAATTTTGTTTTGACATTTCCATAAGACTGGAGCTCCCCTATTACAGAAAACTTCATGTCAATCAACCAATTATCCAATATGTTTTAACACACTATTGCACCAAAGCATTTGGGAAAGGGAAAGAACTGTAAGGCATGAAGCTTTTTCCTCCAAGAACTGGCAGAAGTACCTTATAATTCTTTCAGTATTAATCTAAGATAGGAAGGGCTTTTACCGTGGAAATATATGCCCTTTATAGCCAAGTAAAATGGAGATGATCTCACCTGTGCATTGTTTTGCTGTTCCAGAGCAATCTTACATATTGTTCACAGTGTTGTATTATAAATATTAAAAATTTATTAGGTCAGGCCACAGGTATTAAAATATCCAAAGCATAGTTTAATTTCCAACCATGGCCTCCCAAATTTAGCCATATCACTTTCTAGTACTTTAAAGATTCTATAAGACTAATATATACATTTTTCTACACTTACATAGCTATCACATTTTAATAAACAATAAGTCACAGGACCAAAATTACTAACATCTACCAAGAGTTAGAACACCATAACTATCATAATTCATGCTTTTACAAAGATATCAAATTCTCAAAGAATGAAATTTGCATAAACAGTGATCTAGGATTCACCTGAAGACCACTGATGTGAACATTCTCAAAAAGCCTTTCACTTGAGATACATGTAGCAACCATCCCAAAATGCTTTACTAACTCTGCCTCGATGTCATTAATTTCACTCTCAAGATGTTCTATTACCTTAGGAGTTTTCAGTACATTATACAATGAAAATTGCTTTCACTTCACCAGTATCAGAAGGAAGTAACTCCTGATAGTTAACATCATTCCTCAGGTAAGCAAAACATGATTACTCTAAAAAAAAAAAAAAAAAAAAAAAAAAAAAAAAAAAAAAAAAAACAGAAAAAGAAATGCAAGGAGAGGAGTGTAAAATTAAGAATCTGCAAGAGGGTTAAAAAAAAAAAGTGCTCCTTTAAATAAACATCCAAGCTAAATCTCCTTGAAACAGAACCAGTGGTATCTGGAAATTGTATATCACAAAAATTGCAATTCATTTCAAAGTAGAAACACTTAGGTAAGAAAACTCTGTCACTTTCGGTGGCTTACCTCATCATCTTTATACCAGGACAAGCTTTCTGCAGTGAGGACAAACCAGTAGCCCTTTGAGCCTCCTTTCATAATGCCAATGTTACTGATGGTCAGCCATCCCTTACGAATGACCTGCAAGAGAGCAGACACCAGCACAAGTGCTTAGTTTAACATAAGCCAGTGAAAATGCAAGGTCTTAGACTAAGTCAAGTTAAAAACAAGATCTCAATGAGAATAGCACAGTTCCCCCCAAAGCTCAACTTCTACTGAGCTACTCAAGAGATTTTATCTTCCAAAAGTGCAGACGACCAGAAGGAAATCTCTTCCATCAGTGAATAAAATAAAAATTTCTTGGACTCATATAGATGGCAGAAGCAAAGTGACTGAAACAGACAGGAATGAAATGAGGCAGCCTAACAGACGTGTGCCAGGCTTATTTATGGCCTTGCTGCTACAATTAAAACATATTTAGTTGATTGGATGAACAATAGATTCTCCACACATGCTGCCTCTCCTCTCCTTCCAGCTTACTGGTTCATTTGTCTGCCCAGCTTGCAGACAAATTAGGATTTACAGCAGGGACTGGACAGCAAATGGTGAAAAAGCAGAAACGCCAGCCAACCAATTAGTTCCTTGTTAACATCCATGAATAGGACTGATTGAGGAAGAAAGCTGAAATAATAAACTAAAATGAAAAGTTTAGGCTTCCTAGTGGCTTAGATTTATCCATCTATTTCTAGTTATTCTTTGCTACACACAAATCATGTAGCATCTTCATATGAAAATCTTTAAAGTTTTCATACTTTGGACCATTAACAACTTGAGCCATAGATTTGACAGAAATTATTATGAAGCATTTAAGAATAAATATATTTTCCCCACACAGTTGTTGCAAAGTTATATTGTTTGCCATGTGGCATAGTTTTCTATATCCTAGAATCTAGATAATTTTCTTGCCATAGAATCAAAAAGGAAATTCTATATGGGATTATATGATATTTTCCTAAATGTCATCAGGCACACAAGCTGAAATACTGCATGGTTTCTCTTATGTAAGAAACCCAAAGTATAAATAAGTTAAAGAGCTAAATGTCAATAACTGTCCTGTACTAAAGTCATTAAACATCTTAGAGATCCTGAAATACTAAAAAGTATTTACTGAATGATTATGTCTCTAAAGGAAGATGAAAATACTCTAATAATCAGATTTTATTTTTACACTGGTGTTTTCTAGTTGAAGGAGGAAAGCCAGTGCTAGGGAAAATTATGAAATAAACCAAGGTTCTCCTTGCTGATCTTCCAAACCTGTCACCACACTCCTAGGCCTAACCACCCTCAATTCCTCATTTCAGTACCTCCTGGGAATCTATTCTCCCTTCTAGTTCTCTATTGCATTTATAAACCTACTCAGGGCACCTCTTTCAAGTCCAGACTGAAGCAGACTTCTCCACTGACCAAAATTATCCCCTCTTCTTACTCTCTACTTCAGAAAGAAGAAAATAATATATTGGAGTATGGTTTCTACCAGCAATATTATAATCATTGGACTGCTTTCTAAAAATGTAAATTCCTGAGCCAGCTACCACTCTGAATTAGAATATGAAAAGTAGGAAGTTACATTTTAATATATTCCCAAGGTGATTCTTATTCATATGGAAGTTCAAAATGCCTTTTACATACACATCCAATACATAAAATCAAAACTTCATTTTCCTTAGAACACATGACCACATCGAGTCTTCAGTAAGAAGAAATTAGTTAAATTATTTCACACCAAGGTTATTACTATTCTACCAGGGCTTAAAATAGCTTACTACTCATAGTACTCAATGGAAGTGTACTAATTAATTAATTAATTAATTTCATTTTATTCATCATCTTTAAACATAGAAAAAAATCTTCTAGATATTCCTCAAATTACAAGAAGAAAATTGCCATTTCTACATACTAGTAATTCAGGCTGGCTCTAGTAAGAGGAGCCATGAATTTAGTTCATTTCTTTAGAAAGTATATTTCAAGACAAAAAAGCATTTTGATGTCACAATCCATGTCCTCAAGAATCTTACAATTCAGGGGAAGGCAAATCTATAAAGACATAATTTCACTGTGATCATACAATAGGAGGTGTACACCAACCCAGATGCAGCCAACAAAACTCAGGAGGTTGTAATAGACTCATCCTGAGATGATACCTCAGAAGATCCTTGGGGGAACAGAATTAATCAGGTCAAGTAGCATGTTTGCTCTCCACAGAGAAGGACAAACAGGAACCAAGTAGGAAAGAGCCACTTAGTGCAGAAAATGAGACTTGGGGATTAAATGAAGACGTCGAGGCTGAAGGAGGAGACGCGGTGACACTGGAGTGGATCTAGTTCAGGGAAACCTTGAATTTCACTCCTCTCAATCCTCAAGAAGTACAGAAAATAAATTTCAGATTCACATCCCTAGTACCTATATATGTATTTTGAAATTCTATACATGACTATTGTATCCATAAATTGTGTGTATTATATTAAAATACACGGAGAGAAATATGAAAACATAGTATAACTTTGAAATAAATAAATAATGTTTTTAACATGGAAAAACTCTGTGGAGGATATGAGTTATGCTACCAGGGCGCTGGTATCAATATGTATATTAATAAATCTGAACTATTCTCTTAATTTCTATCTTACTACATCCTCTTGTATTTCAATGGATCTTCCATGCTCCTTGGGCCAAAGTGAGTCCTATAAGTTACTTCTATAACCCAAGTGAGAAATGCCCAGTGTGTGAACTAAAGCCACAATATATAAGGTTGTAAAAGATGAATATTCTGGAGAAATACCTAGGGAAAAAAGTCAACAGAACTGACCATGTGAAGAAGAGGGGAACTGGTAAAGGGAAAGACTCTAAAATTAGCAGAGGGGGTATTAGCTAAGAGCCATTCCTGATTTCTGGGCCCCAACTGACTAGTTACAATTGATAGGTATGATAGGTACACAATGAATTTGAAAATTTAATACAAAATAAATAAAACCACCCATTCACGATTTAAAAAAAAAAACACTACAGAAAATTGACATAGATGGTCTTTGTCTCAACCTGATAAAAGCCATCTATGAAAAACCAACAACCAACATCATACTAAACAGTCAAAAACTGAAATCTTTCACGCTAAAATCAGGAACAAGACATGCCCACTATCACCATTCCTGTTCAATATAATTCTGGAAACATGAACCACAGCAATTAGACGAGAGAAAGAAATAAAAGGAATAAAGATAGGAAATGAAGAAGTTAAATAGTCATTATTTGCAGGTGACAGGAAACTGAAAGTGTAAATAAGATCAAAATGTATAAGAGATAATATGAAATAGGAAGATAAGGCCCAAAGGGGAAGGGGAAAGTAAGAGGGTTAGAGGAAAAGAAAGAAGGGAAAGGAAAATATATGAGAAAAGGAAAGAAATGGAAACAAAGTCTTTGTAAATAGGGACGGATGGAAGAAAGGGCGGGGAAATGGGGGAAGAAAATAAGAACCAAGATATATCAGGTAAAGGTACAAATTCCCAATGATGAATGTCATCATATTATATACCTAAAATGTACCAGTAAACTTAATGAATTTTTAAAAAGCTAAAATAAAAAGGGACATAAAAAACAAAATAAAATAGTTAATTATTGTTTAAATTTTTATTACACATAAAATGATACTATTTTGCATTGACTTAAATAAAAGCAAAATTTTAAAAATAAATTTGTTTGCTTTATTTTTAATGTGGCTACCAAAAAATTTTACATTACATATATAGACTCCTTTTTATTAAACTGTTTTATTATACAGTATTTTTAAGTAGCTGAAACTCTTGGGTCTACCAGCACTTAGAACCAACCATTCTAAAATTCCAAAAGAATAGAGGAGGAAGACCAAATTTTAGAAAGTGGGAGTGCTGATGATAAATTCAGTCAAATCACAGTGAACTGGAGGTACTCACAGGAGTGACTGTGAGGAGGTGAACTGACCCCTGAAGCAAAAAGTACAAGTTAGGACTGGAGGTATAGACTCGCGAGTATACAACAGTATACAAGAGAACCAAAAGAGCGCTGGCTCAAACTGGAATCCTCCAGAAATACCAGCATCTGGATCCAAGGGGGAAAGGGATGAAATTTTCATCCTGTTGATGAATAATAATTTTCAGAGAAACCCATTCTGTTTGAACATATAAATCAATGTGCTTTTTATCTACATTTGAATAAACAATAATAGGCATGAAGTCAAAAGCAGCTAAATTAACTGTAGGCATTGTACCTTAAATTAATTATTTTTTTCAATAGTCCAATGCCAGGATCTTGAGAATTCATTCACTTATTCATGATTATATTCACAATCTCTTTATTTATTATTTTTAACAACGGTGATGTTGTTTTCTAGAATACAAAATTGTGAAGTTGGTAGCACACACTGGAGGAGCTATCTGAGCCTGATATTCCGTTTGTTGGGAAAAATATTCTATTTCAGTTTTCTTTTTTTCTTCCAATCAGAGATGATGTGTTATTTATAAAGATTTTTTTTCATATTTTTATCTGTTCAAGTAAAGTGGCATAAATTTGTTCATAGAAGTCTATAATTAGTTTCTAACAATATTTCTACTTCCATCATCTTTTTCATTCCTTATATGATGTCTTCTCTTTCTCTTAATCAATCTAAAAATAAATCTATCTATATTAATAATCTTTATACTATTTAATTTGTTGCTATCTGTAACCTTATTTTTCTTTGCATTTTATTAAATTTTATGCTACCTTCAGTATTTCCCTTCTTCAAATTAAAAATGTTACTTTTATAATTTTTAAATTGAATGTCTAACTAAATTTTCACTGTTCACTCATAATTCAAAGGTATAGATTTTGGCACTTAATGCATACTGTATATTTAATTTGTAGCATTTCATTGTAATTCAGTTTTATATAACTTTAATATTTTCTATCAGGATATCTTATTTGTTTGCTGTGATATTTAGAAATGTGCCTACAAAATTACAAATGTATTGTATGTCTTAAAATTACCACTTTATTTTTGATGTATGCTATTTTTATTGTGATCTGAGAACCTAATTTGTCTGATGCCGCTTTTTTGAGACTTGTTTGCG